AGGTTGTTTTGTTGAGTGAGTTTGAGGATTTGGAAAGGAGATTTTGATGTTGGGTTTTGGGAAGTTGGTGGAGTGTGTTTTGTGTGTGTGAGGTGGAATATATGACATTGACGTGCTTATAAAGGATGGAATTTTGGGGGTGAGTATATAATAGTGGTGCTAGGCGCATTTTAGCATGATGGTGCAATTTTGGCAAGGTATAATAATTTTATTTTGACATCAAACTAATTAATAATGGATCATCGATCATGGTTGACCCGTCCTTATGATTTTACGTACACTTGGCGTCACTTTTATATCAACCATTGTGTTAAATGCATTATGTCAAAACAGCATTATTCAATTAATAATAGTGTTGTAAGTATTAACAAAAGTGATCGATTTGAAAATCGCAAATGTTGCTACTAGGCTGTTTAAAACTCTAACTCTAACCCATTACAGGCAGCCATATGGCCCATATGCTTTTATACCGAATACGTACATATTGTTGATATTTTTTTCAAACTACGACTATATATGTTAGTTGAAGTTAGTAATAATATAGCATATCATGTGCAAGTATCTCATTAAATTTGCAGATAGGCTGAAACTCTGAATTTCAGGTGAAAATCGACACTTCATGCGTGTATGTTCCATAAAATTTTCAGCCAAAAATATTTATGTCATGATTAATCTCAAATTGATCCATATAAAATAGAGTTATCATAGGTTAATTAAATTCCAACTAACTAGTTTTGATATAGTAAGGAGAGTTCTATTAAAATTTTCCTCTGAACGTATCACAAACTTTATTAATATTGATTACAAAAATTGAAGTATACAGAAAAACTATGGAGCCATCAAATGATTTTCTTATGGAGTCATCTAATACCTAATGTATTGGCACATGTCCAAAGTGTATTTATTGTAGGACATTTGTCAATACACTATTTGTGAATAAGTATGGATGACTCTATAAATCGAGCCATTGATAGCGTGCTGATGTATAAATAGAAATTTTAGGGCATGCTTGTTTATGAAATAATTTGCTCAAAATGAGTTATTTTGATTAACTAGAGTTAAATTTTTTTTTAAAAAAAAGTGGTAGGGTTAGTTGGTAGTGGGATTTTAATAATATATTAAAATAATATTTAAAATAAAATAATTATTAATGATTTGATGTAAAAATAGGATATAAATTATTGGAAATGATAGGTAGTTAAAATTATGTGAGTAGATAAATAGTGAATTAATGTTGATGTGATATGTAAGAATGATTAATTTATAATATTTAATTATATAAATATTATAAATGATAGTGGAGTTGAGTTAAAATTGAATTAAATTTTGAATATGAAATGAATTATTTCATAAACAAGCATGCCCTTAAAGTTCTTGATTTTGTGGATGAGCAATGAACACAGTGTAACAAATTATATCAAGTAATATAATTTGTCAAATTGAGGAAGCCATGTTGGTTTTTGTATTGAACACTTGATCGCCAAAAAAAATAAAAATGTGGACTTTATATGTGAATATGGTGAATGGGACCAAATACATTGTACACTATGAGTAGTTGAGTCATTTTTGGTAGAAATTGTTGCATCACTTAAATCACTTTGCATGGGCATCAATACAATTTTGCATTAGTCACTATTTATCATCAGATATCTTTTTACAATTTTTTTTTTTCTATTAACTTCTTAAAAATTCAAGGACCACTTGCACTAACAGATAAAACCAGATACTTCCATGAATTGGCTGGACTCAACTTAAACCCCAATCTT